GTAACAGTGAGTAATGGGTAACAGTGGGTATTTAGTGGGTAATTAATGGGTAACAGTGGGTATTCACTGGGTGATTAGCAGGTAACAGTGAGTAATGGGTAACAGTGGGTATTTAGTGGGTAATTAATGGGTAACAGTGGGTATTCACTGGATGATTGGTAGGTAACAGTGAGTAATGGGCAACAGTGGGTAATTAGTGGGTAATTAATGGGTAACAGTGGGTATTTAGTGGGTAATTAATGGGTAACAGTGGGTATTCACTGGATGATTGGAAGGTAACAGTGAGTAATGGGTAACAGTGGGTATTTAGTGGGTAATTAATGGGTAACAGTGGGTATTCACTGGATGATTGGTAGGTAACAGTGAGTAATGGGCAACAGTGGGTAATTAGTGGGTAATTAATGGGTAACAGTGGGTATTTAGTGGGTGATTAGTGGGTAACTGGGTATTCAGTGGGTGAATAGTAGGCAACAGTGAGTAATTAAAGGGTAACAGTGGCTAGTGGGTAATTAATGGGTAACAGTGGGTATTTGTTGGGTGATTAGTAGGTAACAGTGAGTAATTAATGGGTAACAGTGGGTAATTAATGGGTAACAGTGGGTATTCAGTGGGTGATCAGTGGGTAACACTGGGCAATTGATAGGTAACAATGGGTATTCAGTGGGTGATCAGTGGGTAATTAGTGGGTAATTGATAGGTAACAATGGGTATTCAGTGGGTGATCAGTGGCTAACAGCACCTTCTCAATTCAGCTTTAACTCAGTTCAGAGCAATGACAAAAAGCTGGAAAACCAGAGGGAGAACCAACAGGTTAAACCAGCAGTTTCTAACAACACACCACAGGAAGAAGGCCTTGCAGGGATTTTCCCCCAGAACCCCCCCAGTGGAGGTGCTGCAGAGCCCAGGTGAGCCTGCACCTGTTTGATCTTGTTGCGGGAGCTGGTGATGCGCTCGGTGATGCTCTGGTAGGTGCGGATGGCCGTGGTGAGCTCCGTGTAGTGCTGCACGATCAGCTCGTCCAGGTCCCGGTCACACTTCTCATAGGCCTCCTCCAGCCGGCCCTTCTCGGTCTCCCTGTCCTCCACATCGTCACTGGTGGATAAAGTCCTAAGGACACAAGGATTGCACAGGTTATTGAGGTGGTAAAAGCTAGAAAATCACAGAATCACGGAATCAA